AGGTTTTTCAAGAAAGGTAGCTGAGAGGGGGTGTTGGAGAGATGGCTCAGAGGTTAAGAGCACTGGCTGCTCTTCCAGAGGACCTGAGTTCAATTCCCAGCACCCACATAGCAGCTCACAACTATCTCTAACTCCCATTCCAGGGTATCCAGCACCCTCACACAGACATATGTACAAGCAAAACACCAATGCACATTAAAAAAAAAAAGGTAGCTGGGCAGACCAGGAGAAGCAAGCCAGGAAGAAGCATTCCTCCATGGCTTCTGTTTCAATTTCTGACTTGGCTTCCTTCAGTGTAAGATGAGTAAGATGAAAGAAATCCTTTCCTCCCCAAATTGCTTTCTGTTAGTTTTTGTTTGTTTGTTTGTTTTTGTTTTTTCGAGACAGGGTTTCTCTGTGAAACAGTCCTAGAACTCACTCTGTAGACCAGGCTGGCCTCGAACTCACAGAGTTCCACCTGCCTCTGCTTCCAGAGGGACTAAAGGCATGTGCCACCACCGCCCGACACTTTGTGTTAATTTTTATCACAGCAACAAAAAGCAAATGGAGAACTTGGGTGCTGTCTGATGGACCTGACCATGTGGGGTTTGTCTTTGTTTTGTGGGAGGAAGGTGGAGAACTTTGGAGTTTTGGACTCATAGCTTAACTGGCTGTTGTGAGACCTTTAACGGTAAGAATGCTGAGAGACATGGCAGATAGTGGAGGCCTGACTTATGAAGTTTCAGAGCCCTTCAAAGATTCTGCTGCAGTCATTTGTGTGATATTTTAAATAAAGAATCTGTGGTCCTGCTGGTCAGTGGTGGAGCACATCTTTAATTCCAGAACCCAGGAGGCAGAGGCAGGTGGATTTCTGTGAGTTCAAGGCCAGCCTGGTCTACAAAGTGAGTTCCAGGACAGCCAGGGCTACACAGAGAAACCCTGTTGTTTCAAGTGAAGAAAAAAAAAAGATTTGTGGTTCTGGTTATCTGGGACCAAAGAATCAACTGTGATTAACAAGAAACCAGCCCCTCTGGTGTGAAAACTTTGCTTTCCTGGGACAATCAATGCTCATTAGCTGGAGCTAAAAAAATCAGTCATGATCTTTAAAAAAAGAGAGCAGTATAATTGAGGTGAGATCTTCTGGGAAGTATTCTCTCAGGGTCAGCATACAGCAGCTGTGGTCCATGAGGTCAAGGCTTTTTCTTACGCCAAACTTGATAACGTGTAAGAGTCTCCCACGTGGTACTTACTGGTTTTGCTGGCAGGAAAGCTGCGGGATGGAAGGGGTCATGGAGAGAAGCTGAGACACTTGTCATTGTGAGATGCCAAGAGAGGCCATTGGTGAAGGTATAACTGTGGGGATCCGAGGATTGAAGGGATCATGGAAAAAGGCTGGAAAGGAAAGGTTATAGTTTAATAGTGATGCTTTCATGTGTCAAGTTGAAAAGGGGTCAATTGTGCTCTTACTTTTTGTCAAGTTGACACAAAACTAGATGTATCTGGGAAGAGGAAATCACAATTGAAGAATTATCTCCATCTGATTGGCCTGTGGGCATGTCTCTGTGACATTTTCTTAATAATTAATGATGGTGGGAGAGCCTATCCCCCTGTGGGTGGTGCCTGGGTTTTTTAAGAAAGATAACTGAACAAGCCAGGAAAGAAGCAAGTCAGTAAGCAGCATTCCTCCATGGTTTCTGTTTCAGTTCCTGCTTCAAGTCAGAGTTTTATCACCAAGGCAGAAAGCAAACTGATACAGCCCGGAATAGGGGTTCCCCTTCCCCATGGGGTCCTACAGACTTGGTGACACTTTTAGCCTGTTATTGGTAAGAAACCGGAGCAGCAGATAGCAGGAAGGATCTGTCCCTTTGCAGGCCGGGTCTAGCCTACTCACACCTTTGGCCTCCTTAGCTCCAGCACTTGGAGCAGATCTGGACAATTGGCTTCTCAAACCCTTTGTTTGTCTCGCTCCAGTGTCCAGGACGTGTGGGGGTGCATTCTTCTTAGCTTTCAGACTCATGGGAAGGCTGTGGAAACCATACCCTCCGCTTCCTCAGTATAGGAGAGGCCACACCTGGAGTGGTTGCTGATGGGCTGCCACAGAAGCCTATAGGGAAAGGGGTATGAGACTGGCCTGTCAGCACTGTGGGCTGAGTTGGGACACGCAGATGGCAGGTGAGATCGAATTCACCCAAGAGTGTTGCCCAAGAGTGAATGAGGAGTGTTCGGGTGTGTGTGTTTCTTGGGATGCAATCCAAGGCTTCATGTATTCTTTTTGGTTTTTCGAGACAGGGTTTCTCAGTGTAGGCTGGGAACTC